TAGCTAAGGGCTATATTTCTGCATAAGGGAAAGTTTACGTATTTCTTGCTTTCAAAAATGTTGCGATCGACCCTAAGATTCACAAGAGGTGATTTTTGTGAGAGAAATTTACCTCATGTAAGGCTTTCTGTAGCGAACTCACCAAATTTCCTCACAGAAAACTCCGCAAATCTTGTCGAAACTGACGGCTTTTGAAAAAATGCCCAGAGGAAGAGCTAATGAGTAGCCCAATACCCAGATTCCTACCACTATGGTTATAGCTCGATTGTAGCCGATAAACTGAAATTATACTTGTAGGGTCAAAAATTGATGAATTTCAAATTACCTCTCTATTGGGTCTAATGATGAGTAGACAACGATCCAAAGCGATTATCGTAAGTGTAAAGCTGGACACAAAGATACTGCCACCCTTAAAAAGCTACATAGCTAATTTTAACATCATCAATCCCTACCTATTTGCGCGTGTTTTGCGACTAACGAGTTTCTCTTCTGGTTCTTTCAAAAGATTTCATTTTTTCAAAGATATGCATTTAAGGTCTAAAATAAAACTACAACGTAGTGAACCAACCCCTAAATTTTTTGAGAACGTATATCTTATCCCTTTCCAGGAACGAAACTCCACCAAAAACAATGGAGATAGTCGTAAACATGGAACCCTCAGATTCCTTTTTTTCTGTACTTTAGTCAAAAATACTTGGGATTTGGACAGCGCAAGCAATATTTGAGCTCTCTTGAGTCTATTGAGTGCATACAAAACATCTTTGATATTCCGCCTGCTTTTCGTGATTATAAATAATCTTTTGTTAAACTGGAAGAGAACTATCTCAACATTCAGGTCCGTTTGACGAAGATCGCAGAATTTCGTATCAAAAATTACTATAAATGCGACCCCAGTGATAGAATCCTCCACATTTCATGCCAGACGTGTGTCCCTATGGAACAGTCCAAACATTATATATGATGTACAATAAAAAACATGGTCCCGAAAAATATGATAACTTTGATATGCAATAATTCTTTTAAACGCTTTCACGAATTTTTTACCATTTCGTAGAGCTAATTTAAGCTCTAGGTTCAAAGTAATAAGTAAATCAATCGCTCTTTACTGTTGTAGATAATTAAAAATTTCGAACAAGGGCGTCTGCAATCTCGCTGCCGTCTCAGGCTAATTTTTTGTCGTTAATTTTTTTAGACGCGCTGTTTTCCGGTAGATCACTTCTTTGTACATGTTTGTAAAGAAGTTCAGATGGTTTTACAGATTCCAGATGATCACGGCTGATACCTATAGCTTACGGAAACTAATTAGAAAAAAAAATAAAAACTCAAAAATCTTTGGAAACTACCGGAACAAACTGTAAATTTTCAGCACATTTTCTCGGGCCCTCTGCTGGTTTCGCGCTTTGGAAAAGCCAAATCATACCTGGAAAACGCCTATCAGCTTGCAGATCGGCTTCGGAAATATCCATTCACGGGTGAATATTGTCACAGCGGTCCATGGTAAAGATGTTAGAGACATGAGCAGATCCGACACCGCCAAGCAACCGATGAAGACGCTTCGCACAGACAGTGACACCTGAAATAATGATTTTTTAGAAATTACTGAAGACATTCAAGCATTTTTGAATTGAAATCCATGGTGTGTGCAAGGAATTTCATAGTTTACCCTCTTTCTTTTTCCTTTTGATTTCGCACAGAAAAAACCACCTTTGAGGTCATTTCCAGTCTGTTCCTTCCTTCTCATTAGCAATTTATCCAGAGCATGCTTACATCCCACTTCGGGCCATTGTCAAATTATTTTGCTCAGCTATTTCCATGTTGATTGATTGAGACACATTCTCAGATTTTTCACATAATTTACGGATAGATATAGGTGAAAATATAGTGCTCAGATAAAGATCTCGTCATTTATCCCCCACACGTCATACTCGTCCCCTCATTCTCATTGTAGGTTTGGCTTAATTATCACCTGGGAGCAAACGTCTCGTCTCAGGTGATAATCATGATGTATGGCTTGATTTTCTTTAGACGGCGCAATTATAAAGGATCTTTGATAAAAAAAGCAAAGTTATCTGACACAAGGCAAGTCTGTTTCTTTGATAGTACAGATATTGAGAAGCTCCGATAATGAAAGTATCAACTTTTGCTGAATTCTACAGAGTATAAATGTGTGAAATTTCACAGTGGAAAATGAAGCGTTACCTTTTTCATTTTTCAAACGTCAGCTATATCAAGTCAAATGTGCTGGAAAGAAAAGAAGCTGAAGCAAACCCAGAGTTATAAAAATTCTTGCCGTAGGCAGATTCCGTGTTTGTTTCAAATTAAGTTATTATAGCAGACCGTAGAAAAAAAATACTGTGTAGAACATAGAATGGCAGAATCGAGGAATAGAATTATGTTAGTTTGACATTCAGTACTATAACATATTTAAGATTATTTTCCCTGAGCCTGATTTTTGCGAAAATGACTA